ACAAATAGGCTTTACAGCGACGAGATCGCCCAATCTATAGCCATGCTCGACACGTCTTTCTTGTCAAAATTGGCCTTGTAGGTCTTCTGTGCTTGCTGTATATTCTGCCTGACTTCAGTTCACAAACTAAGACGATCGTCGTTAAACTTCTCTACCAGCTCCTGATTCAGTAGTTCCATTAGTCGGTCTTCTTCTTTGCTATTCATCTTGATGCCGAACATGATTTCGAATGGTGATACTTTCGTCGACATATGAATGTGAGAGTTAATCGCTTTTTGCACAGAAGGTACATACTTGAACCAGTTTGACGGTTCCTCTGATGACAGCTTAGCTATGATCGAAAGGATTGAGCGGTTAACCCTTTCAACTTGACCATTACCTCTGGCAACACCAGTTGTTGACCAGACATGCTCTATCATGTTAGCGCTGAGGAACTCAGTAAACGCGTTGGCCGTGAATGCAACGCCTCTGTCGTGAATAATACAACTTATACAGTTAGATATGAAATTATTTACCTTCCCCTCTAAGTGGGGGATGTAAAACTGCTGCTGAATACTGTGCATCGTCTTTGTCGTTGCGAAGTGACCAGTGTCGTGTGCAGTCTTGATCACCTCGCGCTCCATCTGTTTCGGTACTACCAGTAGCTCGTGTCCGACAACTTCTTTATAAAGAAGTCCACCTTTCAGCTTGTAGTTTTCATATGCACCGTTTTGTAGAACTCTAACAATTGCTTTTATCCCATCGTCGCTCTGCTGTGCCTTCTTTAAACGTGATGACATCTCTGATGTAACGACGTAGATATGAGGATAACGACTTAGAGAGTCCACATGCTTAATTTTGTCTGCCGCTCGATGTTCCATTTCGAAGTCAAAGTCCTGCAAATGGAGCAACCATTGCGCCACTTCTGTTGGTATGTGAAGCTTACTCGTCGTCTGCTTAAACGCGATAAAATCCGTGACCAGCTTAAACCTTATTCCCAGCAAATAATGTCTCAACTTTTTTAATGCCAGATATGCAGATTTGACCTCGAGTATGTAACTATGTTGCTTAGATTCAGCTTGCGTCGTCTTCTTGCTCCAGAAATAAACCGGGTGAAGCTTACCATCGAACAACTGCAATAGAACTGCGCCGTAGCCATCTTTGGACGCGTCAGTGTGAAGCTCGGTTGGCGCATCCCTTATGTAAATTCGCAAAACAGGCTCCGTTACAAGAAAGGATTTCAACTGTTTGATCGGCTGTTCTTCCTCTGGTCAAATTTTAAAATCGTCTTTTTTTAAGAGATTTGTAAGCGGACGTGCTACCTGCGCATATTGTGGTACAAACTTGCGAAAAAATCCTGTAAGCCCTAGGAATGCTTGGATGGCCTTGACGTTTTTCGGCATATCAAAGCGATTTACAGCAGAACACATCTCTTCTCCTGGCCAGATTTGACCATTTTCGATAATGTGTCCCAAGAATTTAATACGCCGCTGCAGAAAACTACATTTTTTCCACTTAATCTGCTTTCTCTAAAACTTTCTTTGTTTTGGTCATGCATTCTTCGACGTCGTTGGCATAAATAATTATGTCATCCATGTACAGCTGCACAAAGTCTTCATTGATAAGCGGCTGGAATATGTGATTTACAAACCGTATGAAAGCTGCTGGAGAGTTTGTAAATCCGAACGGCGCCTTCACGACTAATAAACGCAGTGTAAGCTCTGCTATTCTCTTCCACAGGCACATGGAAAAACCCATATTCCAAGTCCATAATGCTGAAAAACTTTGCTGCTTTGAGTTTTTCCAGAACGTCGTCCATCATCGGCACGGGAAAGCGATCTTTCAATACCATGCTATTCAGTTTCTGATAGTCAACGCAGACTCTCAACGTGTGATCTTTTTTCTTGACTATTACGATTCTGCTCGCTACGTGAGACGTCGATTTGCGCACAATACTTCGATCGAGCCACTCATCAATCTGCTTCTTTACAGCTGCTGTTTCATCTCCAGACAAACGGCTTGGCGATTGGCTAAACGGTTTTATAACTCCATCTGGAAGGATCTTCAGCTCTATTGGACATATTATGGGTACTTCGGCTGACTTATTACTGCTTTCCACTAGCTGCTCGATGTACTTCTGATATTGGGGTGGAGCATCAAAATTACCTGGAGTTTCGATGACATTATAAACCATTTTATACTCTTCTTCCGACTTTTTCTGCTGTTCCAGGCTCAGAAAAGAGACTCCGTTTAAATCGGCCATAAGTGTGAACTTCTTAATGAAATCGTAGCCCAAAATTCCATTACATTCCATCGCATTGTTTGGAACCACCAAAAACTTCGCAGCTGATCCACTTCTATTTCGCCTTAAAAAATCCAATTGGCTTTGTATTCTGGTTTCCCAGGCCACGCAAGGTTGTTGCACTTTCCAGCATCTGCACACCGTTCAAATTTTTGAATACCCATTCTCTCACCAAGGTCACGTCCGACCCAGTGTCAACCAGGCACTCCACTTCACATTCGATTACGAGTATTGTCTTACAGCGACTGCGATCCATAATTAGATTCACCCTTCCATCTTTCTTCGGACAGTTACGGGAAATATGTCCGTACTCGTTGCAGCGGAAGCATTTGGTATCAGCTATACACGACATTCGTTTGTGATCCGGAGAACCGCAATTGAAACAGTATTCTTTCTGCCTTCAGACACCGTCGCTTTGCTTTGGTACACCACTGTGCTCTTGTCATCGCTGGGTTTTCCTTGAACCTTGCTCGTAAATGGCATACTCATCCGATGCATCGCGATTTTAAACTCGTTTTTTATTTGCAACCCGTCTACGATATAGCGCAATACTGCTTCCTCTTCAACAGTGCCGACGCTTGCCAACTTTTTCATGCTTAGCATATACTCATGGAATGTCTCCGACTTCAGCATTTTACGATTTCTCAACATTTGGTGAATATCGGCACTATTTGTACTCGTTTCGAATTCGCTTATTAATCTGTCTTTCAGATCGTCAAAATAAGACACGCACTCGGATTCCAAAAAAAGCTTAGCCGCGCCACACATCTTGCCTCGGGCCTGAACATATTTTTGTTTATCCGACAGCTCGTAAGCCTCCGCATTATTCTCGAATATGTCGAACCAATATTGCACAAGGATAAAGTATCCATCGAAGTTGCTCATAATTTTCTCGAAATTTCTCTCAGATATTTTCACTTGCTTATCCCTGCGTTCATCTACCTCTATTTTCAGGGTTAACAGTTGCATCATTTGTTGCACCCTGGCGTCGAGGTTTGCCACGCTTCCATCAGCCATTGCTACCTTGTTTTCTTCTGGGATCAACCCGGTTTCGCGATCTTGCTCCGTCTCGGAAAAATTTTCATCCAGCAGCAGCAGATTCTGCTTTTCGATTATTGCTTCCACTTCGTTGATTTTTTTCGACGGCGTACGTCTGGTTCTCGGCATTTTCCTTTTTGTTTTACGTTTGTATGTGTATTGCGAGCGACGCGACCGAGCTGTTCTTTTCTTTCTTCTTGCGAACCGACACAACGAGTACCAACAACAACGACGTCGACCGAACTGTTTTCTTTCCTTCTTCTGTTCCGAATTCTGTGTTTCGTGTGTGTATTACGAACAGACAAAAGAGCGAGGACCAAAAACGCTGACCGAACTGTTTTCTTTCGTTACTTTTCCACGATCGTATGTATATTAAGCGCCGACACAAAACATGTCCTAAGCCACTGGTGACTCACTGGTGAAACTCAAGATGAAATTTGTATGGGCATGTCCGCTTTTGTCACTCGTGAAACTTCATATGAAATTTTCACTGAATTTTCTAGTGATTTCACCGGTGGCTTATACGTATAAGCCATGAGTGAAATCACTCGAAACATGCCACGAGTGATTTCACTCGCGACCTGCCACGAGTGAAATCATTCGGGACACTTCCGAAAATGTCCTGTATGAAATCACCTGGGAAACTTCTCATGAAATTAAAAGGAATTTCACGGATAATTTCATATAAAAAAACACCCAAAAATGATTTTCAAATAAAAGTAAATAAAGTAATATATTTATTTTACACCGATGTTCTAGATTTTTTGTTGATTTAAATATTTTTAGTTATCTGTAGGGCCCCCCTTAACCGACTTGATCGGGTTAATAAGCACCAATGCTCCTGAAATGAAATAGTCCGGCGGGGCATTTTGAACATTTTTTTGCCGCAAGTCCCGTTTAGGTTTAGGTTGTACTCCTGGACTACTGTTTCGTCCAGCACACTTTTGAGGCACCTAGACAATGGGGGCTTCTCCATCAACTTCCGAACTTTTTTGATCTGTAAATAAATAAGTCAAATTGCATATATATTTTTTAAAATTAAAAATCCAGTATTTACAGTTACATGGGTTTCCTCGAGCAAAAAAAAAAAACACACGCAGCGACACGCTCGGTTAACCACGAGGCTATAATGTTCTAGAATCTAGACATATTTTTTTTAGCGAAACCCATGTAACAATTTAATTTAACTAACTACGCACACCGTAATCACTGAATCCACTTACCTGACTTTAAAGAAACTGGAAAACTATTTTTAAAAGGACTAAAAATCTAAATAGACGCACAACAACAACAAAATCATAGGCGCTCGCAACAAAAGATGGCACCAATTAATCGGTTTTTCTCCCATCATCCCTTTGAGGAGACGAAACGGAGCGAGTGTAGAAGAGTTAGGGTCGAATGCAGGTAGAGAAAACTAAAAATATGAGGGAGAGGGAAATCTATGGATATATGCTTCTCTTTCTTATGTGTCCGCTTCGATCTGTAGCAGTTCAAGCTGGACAAAATTTCATGCTGACGTCGACGTCGCTGCCTTTGTCGACGTCGAGCCTGAAACAATTTTTCCTATGACACTTTCATGCCGTGACAGCCAGAACTGCAGGGATATTAATTCGTTGTGCAATTTCGTACTTGTAACAAGCAATAATGATATAATAATGTTTTTTCTTCCATTTCTTTATAGCATATTTAGCTATGTCTTACATCAAAATGATTTACATATTCGTGGTTTTGCTGCTCTGTGCAATTCAACTAAAGGTAAGATTTGTATAAGTGTTACTTATTACAGGGATCTCTGAACAAACTCTATTCTGCACGTGTTATGTGAGAAATGATAATAACAACAAGTTATTGGTAATTCGATATACTTTGTCTAACAGAGCTGGGGCTCCAAAAATTAAAAATCCTGATTTTTTCTGCCTGTTGCTCAAAGACTTTTCAGATCCATAAAGTATATATCAGCCATGCTCCGTTTATCCCAAATCGCAAAGAGTTGCGTATGGACTAACGAATGAGCTTGAGATTTCCAAAATTAAGAGCACATAAATAAAAACTTGTATGAGCGGGAACAAAAAATATAAACATATTTGGTGATGATTTAAGATTACCCGTATACGGACACCATTTTTCCGCTTCGAACCAAAATTTTTTTGATAGATTTGGATTTTTAAACATGCTTAATGATATTTTTGTTTCTATGGAAGAACTTTTTTTAAAGAATTTAAAAAAGTTGTTTTTTTTTATGCTTTTTGCAGAGTTAGCACTTCTCTTTTTCACAAAAATCAGGTTTCTTACATCTCCTTGTAATAAACTTTGCCATTCTAACAAGCCGATAAATGCATTTATAAAGTTGACCTCAATACTTTGTAGCTTTAGCTTACCGTCTGGAAAATATTAAGCTTTCAAATTCAAAATTGATGATTTTTGTGCGGTAATTTTGACTTTAAAACTCAAAGTCGAAAAAATTAAATACTGATCCTTTCTATTTGGTGTGTATTAAAATCTATTTATAAATGCCTGAGCTACAATTGGTTGACCAACCCTCCGAAAATCATATTTTACCGTTTGAAACGTTGCTGGCCCAACATTTAAAGCCACAAATCTATCAGAAAAAGTCGGCTTGGTTCGAAGCGTAAATAAAATGTTAAATTTTTTCGAGTAGTTTTATCTATCTTCCATATAAATAAAAACCAAGTTGTGTTAGAGAACGGATGGACTTATTTTCATGGTTTTTGATTTTTTGAATATTAAATTAACCATTAAAAGCTTGGAAAAAGCGACCAAGGCTCGGAAAATCGCTTCGGAAAAACGCTGTGAAACTTTTGCTTGATTTTGTAACGAACCATGGCTCTAGCCATATCTCGTTACAAACAGCTCGGGAACAACAGTCAAACTGATAGCCGCAGGGACACCGCACCCTGGCTCTGGCCACGTCTCTCCTCACAAATATCGGTGCGTCAGCACCCCGGAAATAAAATAGCGCACAATTAATTAAGAACTCTCGATCAACAACACCCCACCTCTTGGGACATTGCGCAATCGACGGCCTACATAAGAAATATCATTTGCGTTATTTCACAATAAGTCAAGCCAGCATAAAATTATCGACTTACCACTCAACTTCCGCGATGCAGAGTTAGCAAAAACTAATTTTTTTGAAACCAAATACCCAATTCCCAACTGCACCTTCCGGGATGCAGCATCAGCAAAACCACCCTGACCCACTAAAAATTGTCAACCACACCCCACAATTATTATTATCCAATAACCTTAAGTCAGCAAGAATTAATTATTTCCGGGTCTCAGGTGCGATCGCCAGCTGCATAAAAGGCCCAAGATCGGCCGAAAGAGTATGCAGTCCATCAGCCCGAATACAAGACACAGGCAGTCCATCAGCCGAACCCAAGACACTGCACCAGGCAGTCCATCAGCCCAAACACAAGACACTGCACTAGGCAGTCCCTCAGTCACACACCCAAGACACTGCACTACGCAGTCCCTCAGTCACACACCCAATACACTGCACTACGCAGTCCCTCAGTCACACACCCAAGACACTGCACTACGCAGTCCCTCAGTCACACACACAAGACACTGCACGAGGCAGTCCATTAGCCCGAACACGAGACACTGACTAAGCAGTCCACCGGCTCACAGGCCAAGTAACAAGATCCGCGAGTAATCCATCGTAAACAAGCCCACAAAGAATAAAGTAATAAAAATAATAAACACCAGCAAAACCACAAAACACGATTTCTTGAAGTATTTTGTCAGCAACACAACGCTCCTCCTGTCACCTACCTCTCTTTCGGTCAGACAAGGTCGCTCCGAGCCCAAAAAGTTCCAGCAATCTACAAATTTTCTTGTAGCGGACCCTGGACAGACTGATGCATACCTCAGCCTGAAATAGGACCTCACAATTTTTATACCCGTACTCAAAAACGAGTTTAGGGGTATATTAGATTTGTGGTAAAAGTGGATGCGTGTAACGCAGAGAAGGAAACGTTTCCGACCCCATAAAGTATATATATTCTTGATCAGCATCAATAGCCGAGTCGATATAGCCATATCCGTCTGTCCGTCTGTCTATCTGTCTGTCTGTCCGTCTTGTTGAGCGCCTAGATCTCAGAGACTATAAAAGCTAGAGGAACCAAATTTGGTTTCCAGACTCATGTGATATCACACTGCTACAAGTGTATTTCGAAATTTCTCCCCGCCCCCTTCCGCCCCCACACAGGACGAAAATCTGTGGCAGCGACAATTTTAAAGATACGATAGAACTAAAAACGCAGTATCGTAGAGAATAACCATATCTACCAGACTGCCGAATCTGAATCAGATCGGATCATAATTATAGCCAAAATGAAGAAATTCATTTTCAGTTGCTTCCCCTGCCCCCTCCTGACACCGACAACGCAACTCATTTTCCTTCTCCTAGCGGAGGATATGTAGAATCTAAATGGTACATATATAATTTACATGTTAGATGTATAATATACATTGTAGATGTAGATAGCAGATGTAGCAAAAAAATGTAGTTTTTAGTTCTGAAATATCATAAGATCAAAAATGTATATACTGACTGAGTACGGGTATAAGTTGATATGCAATGACTGCACCATCAAGTGGCCCATGTGACACCAAGCCGAACCCTGTTACGCGCGGAACCCTGGCAGAAACGTAGCCCCTCGGCCTGCGCAAGCGACCGAGGGGCGCTGCCGCACGACGCGCTACGCGTGTTACCGAACCGATCGCGAGCATGCAGGAAAGATGGGTGTTAGACTATAATTCAAGGAAAATTAGATCTAAACACATTTCAAAGAGCTAACCATGCAAAGTTAGCTAATAAATAGTACTAATTACGGAAAGGTATGTTAGTATTAGTGATTTAAGAAGAGGAAGGGAATAAGTTCTGTATACTATATGGTAGCGGGAATTTAAGACCGAGCATAGGACCCTAAATGGTTTGTGCAAGGAATAATTTGATCTACAAAGTGGAAGGAACAAAGGAATAAAGTTTCTAGTAGATCTAATATGAATCGTAAAATTTATGCGGCTGAACAAGTCATGGCTATCTACGTCACCCTTGATCAGGTTGTGCAGAATCGGAGATCCTGACCGCCATGAAGGATGCCATTGTGCGCGCAGATAACCCGTTTATTTGCGCGTTCAATGGTATCAAGTGGTATAAGGGAGTCAAAGCAGATTCCCAGGAGAATGATCATGAAGGTGTGGATTCCTCCCCCGATCAAGGCGGATGAGGACACACTCTTTCTGATCAAGGCACAGAACCGGATCCTGGAGACATCTGACTGGACCATCAAGTGTACCATAGGCGGACCTGCTGCGGTTTATGGAGGAGAAGGCGGTAGACGTGGCCCCTCATCGAAGAGCTATGGATAATAAGTGAAAGGGTTCGGGGACTGAGCGGTCGCGGATACCGGCTTCTCACGCCACACCCCGCGGGTAAGCCAGGAACCTGTGTCGTGGTAAGGAACGAGCTTAATGTTCTGTTTTCTTCCAGGTGCAGCACTCCGGACCTAACGGTGGCACTTTATGAGAGGGAGGACCGAAAAAACCTATACCTGGCCTCTGCATACCTGCCGTACGAAGAAAAAGACCCACCAAGCGCGGAGGGAGGGACTCGACATTGTCTTAGGCTGTGACGCGAATGCCCATCACTCCCTCTGGGGCACAAATTCTAGAGGAGAGTCGCTGTTCGAGTACGTTCTGTCCACAAATCTTGTTGTGCCCAACCGGGGAGACCACCCCACCTTCCGCAACAGGAACCGTGCAGGTGTTATAGATATAACATTGGCTTCGAATAGCGACTCCGTTATCATCGATGACTGGCACGTGTCCAGTGAATGTTCCTTTTCGGACCACTACAGAATAGTGGATCAGCATCAAATGGAACAAGGAGAGGCCCAAGGCCTACCGCAATCCCAGGCGGACAGACTGAAACCGCTTCTCCGCAACCGTACAGAAGGTCCTGCCTAACCAACCGGAAGGGGATTACTTTAAACGGGAGCACTAGAGAAAGCTACGCAGAACGTTACTAATGATATACAGATGGCGTTTCTCAAATCCAGCCTGATCAGCCGACCCCCAAAGTCCAATCACAACCCATGGTGGACACGGGAGCTGAGCGAAGTCAGTAAGGAATCGAGGAAACTCTTCAAAAAAGCAAAAGTGACAAACTCACAGGAAAGTTGGGACGAGTATCGCCGCAGCTTTAATGCCTACAAGAACACATGTAGGAGGTCGAAAAGGGAGTCATGGGCAGCCTTCTGCGATGCCATAGAAGGTACCACTGAGGCCTCAAGGCTTCGACGTGTACTGTCGAAGGCACCCACCACACCAGGCCTGCTCCGCAGCCAGGACGATACTTTCGCAGAGAACAGCCAAGAATCCCACATGAGCTACACATGAGTACTCACTTCCCAGGTTTGCTCAGATGTCACCGGTGACGAATCCAGCGCCACCAACGACACTGAGCGTGGAGCAAGGAGAGGAAATCGAGGATTTCATACGAGATATAATAGCATGACACTCGAGTTATCGAGCGAAACCAAGATTACCAGACTGGTGCAGTGTATTCCCGGCGGAGATATATGCAGTATGGCAAGCGGCTAAGTTGGTATACACCTTGGAGATACCTCCGAGGAACATAGCAATGCGCGTCGACAGTCAGGCTGCCATCAAAGCCTTGGTATCCTGCAAGACCACAAGCAGACTCGTACGTGATACGGTGGACGAATACTCGGCGGCGCCTTCTACGAAGACCTGGACAGCCTGGCAAACATGCACTAGAGACTGCCAATTGGGAAAAATGGAACGTGATCAGGTACCAAATGTACAACCCGTTTTCGTTTGATTTTTTCCAATTGGTAGTTGCACCTAAACACAAAAAATAGAGAACACAGGATATAATTTTTTTCGACTTTTCCTGAGATTTTAAAGTCAACATTTCGTAAAAAATACCGCACAAAAATCATAATTTTTGCATTTCAAAGCTTTTTATTTCCCAGACGGTAAGCTGAAATCACAAAGTGCTTGGGTTTAACTTTTAGCTGTTTTAATTATCTTTTCAAAATAGCAAAGTTCTTTACAACCAGACGAAAGATACTAGAGTTATGTGAAAAAAGAAGCGCTACCTCTGAAAAAAGCTTACAAAAAAATACCAGTTTTAAAAAATTCTTCAAAAATGTTCTGCCATAGAAAAAAAACCATAATTCTTTAAACAATTTTAAAGTCCCAAATCTATCAGAAAAAATCGGTTTGGATCCTTGAGGAAAAAAAGTTCGATTTTTTCGAGTAGTGTTATCAAATTCGCACTCCTTTTCGCTATTATTCGATACTACATATATATTAACTTAAGTACAATAAACTGGGAATATATTAACTGAACAATCATCGTCTCTTTAATAACCTCGCAAAAAAAACTTCTGAAAAAGCTCAGTAGTTCAAAGGGTGCACTAATTAAACGTCGTTTAAAGTCTTGTTCTTTAAAATCTATGGAGAAACGACTGAGCCAAAATTGGTCCACCAACCCTCCGAAAATCACATTTTACCGTTTTGAACGTTGACGGCTGAACGTTTTGGGCCCTTTTATTTACTTTTCAAAGAATCTGAAGCTCGTATATCAACAAAAAACCAAATTTTGACAAAAAAATTGTACCGTCTTTCACAGTATTTTTGGTTCGTAGTAAAAAAACAGATATACATGAATATAGAAAAACCACTATCTCATCCAGCCGAAGCTGTCAAAATCATATCACAAAATCACAAAAAAATATTTGTTACTACGTATCTTACTACTACTACTACTATTAAATAAACCATCTAATATGAAACTATATTATTATTACTATTATTATTTAATGCTAATAAATAGTTAAAACTAAGAATTAACATGGGTTGGAGCTACATATATGTAGCTACTGAGACCTTAAGCTCTATAGGTTTGAATTACGAATGTGTATGTACAGAGGTGTTTTTACAGTTTTGGTTACTGATGTGATGTGCAGGATTTTTCTAAGAATGTGAGGACTATATTGGTATTTGTGTTGGTGGCTAGGCGATATATTGCTGGGATCATTGTTATTGAATGTTGAGGATCTTTGTGTGGAAAGGGTGGGGCAGATGAATAGTATATGGTCTAGGTCTATGGTCGCGCTGCGGCAGAAAGGAAATATTTGGACAAGGACATGTGGGCAATGTTTTGTCTATGTAGTGGTCGCTGGTTAGATTGGTGTGGCCAAGTCTGAGTCTGTTAATGATGACTTGGTTTAGTCTGTTTGTGGAAGCGTTTATGGTTGGTGTGCGGTTAAAGGAGGAGATTTGGCTGATTTGTTGGTATCAGATTGAAGTTTTTGTGAGGAGGTTGGTTTGTGTGGATTGGAAGATTTGTTTTAGGAAGTGGGAAGTGTCATTTGAGTTGTGGTTTGGGGTGTATATAAAGGGAAATTTGGCGGCAAGTTGGGCTGAGAAATCTGCCCTTTCGTTGCCTTTTATGCCTATGTGGCTTGGTATCCATATTATTATGATCTTCGGGAAGTGTATGGTGATCAGATTTCTGATTGAGGAGGCGTAATCGGAGTGGTTGGTGGGGTTTGTAATTGCGGTAATGGAGGAGAGGGAGTCTGAGTGGAATAGTTGGTGGAAGACTATTAGTGGGGTAGTGTTCTTGTTGAGTTTGGAGATGCTGATGTTGGTTGCTATGTGGATGGTCAGCATGTTGAATTTTTGGTTATAATTGAGCAAAAGGGGATGAGATGTTCTCGATATATTTATATAGCTCTGTCTCTGTGCTTAGTTTGTATTAATTTTTTTGTATTTGTATTGTTATATTTATTAAAATTTTATTAAATCTATTAAATAAATTTATTTTTTTTTAGGGAACTGTTAAAAGAGATATAGATCTCTCTGCCCTTTATATGGGGATTTCAGAGGATCGATTACCTAAGGAAATCATTCCACTAAGTTATGAAATACAAATTGAACCTAACATAGAAGAACAAACATTTTGCGGCTACGTAAAAATAAATTTGCGTTGGATTGCCGACTTAAAAAAAATTGTTTTACATGCTCATTTCGACTTGATTTTAAAAGATGATAAAATAAAACTAAACCAAATTAAAAGAGATTTTGGGTAAATATTAAAAAAAATTATTATTTTGTATACACAACAGTACCTTTATTTTAGCAACCATACAGTTTTCGAGAATATTACCATTTTGCGAAGCGGACGAATTCCACGAAAGTCTATCTATGTTTTGCATTTAAAAGAGCTAGTTAAAAAAGACTCTGAATGTATTCTTGAAATCCCATTCGAGGGAAATATTTTGGAAACTTCAGATGGACTATTTAGAGGATATTATACCAATTCTACCACTCTTGACCAGGAATTATATTTGGCTACAAATTTAAAACCAAACAATGCACGTCGCATCTTCCCCTGCTTCGATGAGCCTGGGTTAAAGGTGAGTGATCGGCTAAGCGTCGGACCATGGCAGCATAAAGAGCAGTTAAACATATGTAATATCTATATATTTTTCACCCTTTTTTTAGATATACATACATATACATTAATACAGCAATAAAGTAATAAAGTAAAAAGTTCTGTTTCTTTCGTAGTGACCAAAAAAAAAATAAAAGACATAAATATGGAATTTTCTGTCGTCTGTGCCAAAAAAACCTGCAAAAAGCAGATCACCCATGACCAGACCAATATCCCCTGCTGGCTTTGCGAAAGCGTAGTGCACGCAAAATGTGTAGGGATCTCGGGACGTGTAGGAGACGCCATTTCCCAAAACAACGGCCTACATTATAGTTGTGAGGAATGCCGTGCTGTGGAAAACGACATGCGTTCGTTCATGAGGCAGACACGGAGTGGCTTCAAAGAGCTGATCGTAGGCTTTAAACAGCAATATGTTCGGCTCTTGGCCATGGACACTCAGCTCAGCAGTTTACAGCTGCTGGCTGAGTCTCCGAGGCGCAAGAAATCTACTCCGCGGGACTTGCAAGTGCCGACTGCCTCATGTCCGCCGGCATCTGAAAAACTTACTCCGACCACTCCCTTAATGCAGCAGTTGATTACGTTTGCTACGCCAAGGGCAACGATCGCTGCTGGTGATGCAGATTCGGGAGCCCAATGCGTCACTTCGGAGACTATGCACGTAGACATGTCTGTAGCGTCCGTGTCTGTCGAGTCCGCACCCAACGTACTGCCATCACAGGTACTTGGCCTGTGGTGCCAAAACCACTGGTTGGAGTCCCACCAAAGCGACAAGTTTTTGTCTCGCGGCTAGCCCCTGACCTCACATCTAATGATGTAACCGCTTTTATACAAAGCAAAATAAAAGCCGTTGGCTTAAAGTTGGAAAAGTTTAACTTTTCCTACGCCAGGGTGATATCTTCCTTCAAGATAAGCGTCTCTCCGACTCAATTTGACACCATTTGTTCCGCCAAGTTTTGGCCGGAGTATTTGGTGGTTAAAGAGTTTAAGGCTAAGAAAAAGAATAGGCCCCCATAACTCTTCCTTGTAGTCAGACCAGTGCTCCATCTCCACCCTCATCTTCCACCTCAACTTCTAGCCATCCAAAAAACTAACTTCCTCTCTTTTAGTAACCTACCAGAATGCTAGAGGCTTGCGTAATAAGTACTTGCTCAGCACTTTTTTTCTTGAGAGTCTCGCATTTTCGTCCCATGTTATTGTGTTTACCGAGACTTGGCCGGCTTTAAGGACATCCTTAGTTCCGAAGTTTTGGCAGGTCGGTACACAATTTTTAGAAATGACCGCTCATCTCGACGTGGAGGTGGGGTTCTCATTGCAGTGGACACAAACTTCACGTCGGAACATTTCATGGTCCAGGTTCAACAAGACCTGGAATTCCTGCGCGTAAAACTGATTCTCCCAGGCTTTTCCATTTTCATTACTTGCTCGTATATTCCACCTTCCTCGGATATCTTAATATACGAGCATCACCTGTCCGCTTTAAAAACTGTTTCTTCCTCGCTATCAGATAAAGACCATATGATAGTTCTTGGTGATTTCAATTTGCCAGGTACTGTTTGGTCTTCGGTAAACGAGTCTAATAACCTTGTGCCCATGTCACGACATTACTTTAACGACGGCTTGCTAGACCTATCCCTGTCTCAAGTCAACCATGTGAAAAATTCCTTGGGTCGATTGATTGATCTGTGCTTTGTCTCGGATCCGACCATAGCGTTGTTAACCCGAGCCCTTCCGCTCACTATACCTTCTACATTCGAAGTGTTGGTCGATATTGGGCCTACTGTATTGGATCGATTGGGTAGGCTATCTGAACGTGTCCGCTGCTTTCTTAAAGCCGAGTTTACGATGCTCAATAACCCCATTAGGGATTTTTATTGGTCCGCTCTGTACTTGTGCACTGACGTTATGAAAGGCACAAACATTTTTTACAGTGTACTTGACACATTTATTGATTCTGCTGTCCCACCTTCTTGTCTGGTTAGATCTGGGAAACCTCCTTGGTTTACCAAAGAGCTTACTGCTTCACTGCTCGTTGAGTTGTGTTTAGCTCTAATTTTACTCGACTTTTAGTCTAACACCTATCTTTCCTGCATGCGGGTCATGCCGCAGCGCCCCTCGGTCGGTTGGGCAGGAGGAGGGGCTGCGTTTCTGCCTGTGTTCCGCACGTATCAGCTAAGCTTCGGCTTAGTGTCGCATTGGATACTTGATGGTGCAGTCATTCCATATCAACGTCCAGACATGAAAAGATCGTTCATGCATCTTTGGAATGTGGCAGGGGCGTTGGTTAGCCCACAAGGCATTCGAGTATACTCGTAATGACAGTGTTTGGTAGAGAAAGCCGTTTTCGCTATCGAGTTGGGTTCCATTGGGATTTGTTGGAAGCGGTAGTTTTGTGGTTGTTTGTTTTTTCTTTACTTTCTTCATTCGCTTAATTAGTTACGTTCTGAGACTTGCTGGTCTGTGATTGATCATGTGGTGCACTGGTGGACTGCGTAGTGTGGTGTTTTGCGGTTGTGACTGCCTAGTGCAGTGTCTTGTGTTCTTGGCCTCTTGTGTTCGGTCTGATGTACTGCCTAGTACAGTGTCTTGGGTGTGGGCTGATGGACTGCCTAGTGCAGTGTCTTGTGTTCAGGCTGATGGACTGCCTGCTCTTTTGGCCGATCTTGGCCCTTTTATGCAGCTGGCGATCGCAGCTGAAAGCAGGAAATAATTGCTTATTGCTAACTTATGCTTTTTTGGTGACAATAATTGGGTCAGAGTGGTTTTGCTGAGACTGCATCCCGGAAGGTGTGGACTGCACTTGGGTATTTGGTTTCAAAATGAGTTTTTGCTAACTCTGCATCGCGGAAGTTGAGTGGTAAGTCGAGTGGTTGCGAAAGATCGTCAGGAAGTGGTTGACCGAGAATTTTGTGCTATCTTCGCTGATTGCGGAATGATGCAGAATGGGTAGAGTTGTTGATCGAGAGTTCTCAATTTTAGTAATTGCGTGCGTTGCTTAAGACTATTTTATTTTCCGGAGTGCTGACGCACCGCTATTTGTGGAGAACCGTGCTTCATTGGCCCTGTGTATATCAGTTTGATTATTGTTGCAGACCAGCGTGGATGTGCTGACACTCCGCTGTTTGTGACGAGCCATGGCTAGAACTATGGTTCGTTACAGAGTTATACAACACTTTCTTCAATTTCTCTTTCTCTTCATCGTTTAGATGTTCTAGCCTTACCCTGCAGTTCTAAAAGTCACTTTTCACTCGTGTGTTATGTTAAAGCTCAGCGAAGTCATACCGCATCGGTTGGTGGCTTAATTCAGAATGTTTATTGAATATCTTTTTGTTCTTATCCTAGGGTACAATCGTTCTTATGTATAACGGAGAGCGAGAGTTCTCCCATGCATTATATGAAAAGAGTACCACCGCATAAGTATTAGTGCGCGTGGTCTCTGCCTGAGTCTAATGGAAATGCAAGATCAGCATTAAGGGGCTTTTGAGAGTGAGACCCATCGCCTATGTGTTAGGGCGTTTGGGTTCTGCCTGAGTTCGGGTAAATGCCTTCTCAGCAGTTTTGGTAGCTGTCCGATCTGCGTTCAAGTCTTAGATCGTTGCTGTGCAAAAGGAATGTGTAACATAAACATAAGTTGTTTATGTCACTGCTCATATGTATATATGTATTTATATATATAACAGAGTGTTACATATGTACATGCATGGGTTCACTACACGTGATTCATTCGGTGAATCACTCATGGCATTTCCTAAGCAACTGGTGACTCACTGGTGAAACTCCAGATGAAATTTGTATGGTCATGTCCGCTTTTGTCACTCGTGAAACTTCATATGAAATTTTCTCTGAATTTTCTAGTGATTTCACCGGTGGCTTATACGTCTGTGAAAAATCACCTGTGAAACTTCTCATGAAATTAAAAGGAATTTCACGGATAATTTCATATAAAAAAAACACCCAAAAATGTTTTTCAAATAAAAGTAAATAAAGTAATATATTTATTTTACACCGATGTTCTAGATTTTTTGTTTATTAAAACCGACTTGATCGGGTTAATAAGCACCAATGCTCCTGAAATGAAATAGTCCGCGGGGCATTTTGAACATTTTTTTGCCGCAAGTCCCGTTTAGGTTGTACTCCTGGACTCCTGTTTCGTTCAGCACACTTTTGAGGCACCTAGACAATGGGGGCTTCTCCAGCAACTTCCGAACTTTTTTGATCTGTAAATAAATAAGTCAAATTGCATATATATTTTTTTAAATTAAAAATCCAGTATTTACAGTTACATGGGTTTCCTCGAGCAAAAAAAAAAACACACGCAGCGACACGCTCGGTTAACCACGCGGCTAGAATTTTCTAAAATCTAGCCATCATTTTTCTAGCGAAACCCATGTAACAATTTAATTTAACTAACAACGCACACTGTAATCACTTTAAAAACATTGAAAAACTACTTTTAAAAGGAATAGACATCGAAATAGACGCACAGCACGAAAAAATCACAGGCCCTCGCAACAAAAGATGGCACCAATTAATCGGTTTTTCTCCCATCATCCCTTTGAGGAGACGAAATGAGCGAGAGTAGAAGAGTTAGGGTCGAATGCAGGAGAGAAAACTAAAAATATTCGAGAGGGGGAAATCTATGGATATCTGATTCTCTTTCTTATGTGTCCGCTTCGATCTGCAGCAGTTGAAGCTGGACAGAATTTCGTGCTGACGTCGACGTCGCTGCCTTTGTCGACGTCGAGCCCGAAATAATTTTTCCTATGACACTTTCATGCCGTGACTGCCAGAACTGCAGGGTTATTTCTCCTAACATTACAGTGTTGTCTTTGTAATTAATTACGGCCTTGCTGGCCATCAGATATTCTCTTCCTAGAAGGATATCGTTCGAACATTACGTTCGTTCTCTTTCGTAGTGACCAGACGTGTTTTTGTTTTGCGCTCCGCATTTTCCTTTTGTTTAAC